TTACAGAAAATCTGTGAAAAATCACCGAACTGTTTACCGAACGTTCAGCTGTTGAGATTTCGGTAAAATTTCACAGATTTCGGTAAAATAATCTAAGTGTGTATGTCTTCAAGAAAAACTTTTTCAAAGAGTTACGTCTGTTTGTCTGTGCTGATACTATCAGGATTCTGTGTTTTCTATGCAGACGATACGAAAATCTACAAATTATTAAAAGTTTATCGGACTGTTGGGATCTCCAGAATATGTTAAATATTTTTGCTGACTGGTGCTCAAACAGTTTGAAGAATGTAACATTATTTTCTATCCCCGAAAAATCAAGCCAATCATGTTTGACTATGCTCTCTACGGACGCTGTCTTGCTCGTGTAGAGCACATTAAGGATCTAGGCGTTACCTTGGACTGCAGACTCACTTTCAGAATCCACTACAATGACATCATCTCCAGAGCTAATCGACAATTGGGCATTGTTTTCAAAATTGCCGACGAGTTCCGTGAGTCGCTATGCCTTAGGTCACTTTACTGTTTGCTTGTGCGATCCTTATTGGAGTCAAGTTTAATTGTTTGGTGCCCTTTCCATGCTAGCTGGATCACTAGAATTGAATCCGCTCAAAGCAAGCTTGTGAGATATGCTCTTCGTTTCCTCAACTGGCGTGACCCAACGAACTTGCCACCGTACGAGGAGCGTTGCCGTCTCCTGGGAATCGAACCATAAGAGGTGAGACGGACGGTCGCTCAAGCTATGTTCGCTGGAAAGCTGCTTACGGGTGACATTGACTGTCCAACACTGCTGGCTCAACTAAATATGTATGCCCCTGAGAGGTCTTTTCTTCAACGCGACTTTCTGTTTTTGGAACCACGGTGCCGAAATTATACGTCACAACACATACCAATTCGAGCAATCAGCCGGCAATTCAATAACTTCTTTTATATGTTCGACTTCAATGTATCAGCTGACGTGTTTGGTCATCGGTTACTTGACCTTTTCCGTACCATTGAACGTTAGGTTTTTTTTTTTCATTTAGACAATAATTGTCAGTTGAACTTTTAAATATACAAACAAATAAATAAATTTTGCAAAAAAAAAAAATAATGACAAGTGTGTCAGTATGACATTCTATTCTCGAAAACAGTCTTGTCTACTTACCATCGTATTTAAGGAAATCAGCTTCATATAAGGTTAAATGTAAATTCAAACATCGAAAGCGATATCACCGTTCTTTACAGGGAGAAAGATTAGACAGAGAAGCTGCCCTTATTGTAGACCTATGATCCCGTTGTGATCTATTTTGCCAGAACTAAGATAGATATGATATTAAAGTCCAATTCTTTGCCATGTTGACATAGACAACATAAATTTTGTTGTAGAATTAGGGGAAAATACTGATATTTTTTAAGACTTTTGATATAATTTTCCAATGTTTTTAGAAGAATCAAATCGTAAAAAAAAACTTCCCCTTAAACAGAGTCATAGGTGTCCAATAGAACACAGATTAACATCGACACACATACATATTTATAGCGAAAACGACAGCAAGAAAGTAACACCAAACTAATTGAAAACCAATGTTCTTTTGTATTAGATAATACCACACATATACACCCACATCGGCACACAAACAAACAAACAAACAGACATTCACACACACACAAACAGAGAGAAAATTAGCGCAAACGTCTAGAAGGACAGTTAAAGAAAACACAGAAAACAACATCAAAGACGCTTTTTGGTTTATTTGCATTTCTGGAATTCTTGGGTTTCTGGTTTTCTTTGCTTTGACTGCATTTTATACTGATAGATATAGCATTGTTTTTTTTTTCTTTCGTTTGTTTAATTACTCCTGTGTTTTTCTTTTCATATTGCATTCTTGTTTTTAACTGCGCTTCCATTGTAGCGTCAACTATTTGTTCGTTTTTTTGTTTGTTTTTTTTGTTCAGCTTTCTGCTTCCGTAAGGGATAACTCTAACTCTATAGCGGGAAAACTCAAACCCGATCCAGGCATCATTGCTTTTTGCTACGTTTCTGTTGTTGTTGTTGTTGTTGTTGTTGTTAGTTTTGGTATGTGTTATGATTTTGTTTTACAAGTGTTCAATTGTTTTTCTCTATAGAGGGAACGACATAAAAGAGAAGGGAATTTTACTTGGATTAGTGGATTCATTTCAAATGTAAGTATGTGTTTTTTTTGTTGCTAAGATTGGTTTGCTCTCTAGGTTTGTTATTCTAAGGTTAGATAGATTTCAAGTGATATTTACTGTATAGAATCCGTTAGAATGAATAGTTTAGTGTTTAGTCATGAGACGCGATGATAAGGTAGATTAACGAACATGGTTTGAAAGAAATTTGTCCCTAGTAACTTAGAAATCTGGAGGCTGCAACTCGATAAATAAGATTAACGTTTTTTAAATATTTTTCCATATAAGTGCTGTTATAGATCTTTTCTCTGGCTACGAGCTTTGTTTCCGTTTTTTTTTTTGGTTTTTGAATAAATTTTTCATCGTTTTTCTTTATGCTAAATTGATATACGCTACTGTAAATTGTTTTCACTGTTCAACTGCATAACTGGTAATGTTCAATTTAATATGATATTTTGCTAAACTGTCGCACCGACGCATTGCTTTAATTTTGTTCCACTAGATGGCGCCTAAAAGTTTAGACCGGTGATAATTTTGACACATGTCCTGGCTGATGGCTACGCAGATCGCCCCCACGACGTTTGTCTGCATTTGTATGTATGTACGCATCTGTGGTAAAATATGTCCCTAAATTGATGGCAGACCAATCGCGTCTCAAGTGCGCTAAAATTCCGTTCTCTCGCCATTCTCGCATCTCCAGATAATGCGCTGCTCTACTTGAAGTTTGTTTATATTGTTTTTAAATATATATGTATATATTTGTTCGTTTCTTTCCTTTTACGATAATAATAATTGACACACATATTGTATTTGAATGTTTTTGTCTTTCATTTCTTCACTCGAGCTATGGTGGTGGTGGTGGTGGTGAGTATTGATTTGACGTGCACGAATGCGCGCACCGCAGTGATGGTGAGTTTGTGGTGGTGACAATGTGCCGGCACGAACTGTCAGCGGCACATTCTACGAAGTACTCTATTGCTTGGAGGCTGATGTGAGGAAAGTATATGTCGTTATTGAGTGAGGGTTATGGAAATGTGTCATGTGCCGATGATGACCGGGCGATGAGAGCGTTGGAAACAAATAAAACAGAGTTTTTTTTTAACAGTTTTTTGTGTTTTATTTTTTAATGTGTAACTTTTTCATTTAATTCTCTTCAACAATTATAAACAAACGTTGTTTTGGTTTCATTTTTTTCATTCCTGACAAAGGATTATTCGTTCGGTTTTTCTTCCTTGTTTGGGGATTACATTGCACAAGTTCTGTGGCTTGGTACACTGTGAATTTGAAGTTGAGTTTTTTTTTGCGTGTGTAGAGGAAAGTGTGTAGGGTGGCGAGCTATTCGCTCCGCTGCCATAGGATATATGTCATCTTTGGAAACCTGCATGGGCTGTGGGATAATGATTTTCAGTTGAAGTACAGTAACAGAAAGTATTGCCTTGCTATGTGTGTGTGTGTGTCAATGAGAGTTGGTCTGGTAAACCGATAGCTTCAGGAAGAAGATTTGTTTGTTTTCAATAGTAAGGAAGAGAATTTGAGTGTTTTGAAGTTTAGTGTTAAGAGATTATGAGTTTTTTTTTTCGCTAATTTCATTCAATATTTGCTTTTGTTTTCTGCTAATCAATGATTTCTAACGATAGGATAGAGAGATAAACATACTGCTGTTTTTGTTTACTAGCTGTAATGTGTTGCTGTTGATGTTGTTGTTGTGTTTTTCAATCGTTTCTTTATGTCAACAGATCAACAGATAAAACCGTTTGAGTTTTGCTGCTGTCAGTAGATTATCGTATTCGGTTTTGCTTTTGTTGTTTTCAATACATTTACTACTAGCGACACGACATGAATGAGCGCGACATAAACATTGAACAGAATACGGCGGGTGCAATAAGAGAACGCGAATGAAGATTGTTTTTTTTTTCGATGAGAAGACGCGTAGAAGTTGCCGACAAAAGTAGTTTCCATGCAATTTGAGACATAGAATGAACACCAAAGACTTGTTTTCATTGCACATATTTGTAAGCGTAATGTTCGGTAAAAGAACACAAACCGAAATCAGTGATCAAACAACGTCAGGAGAGTTTTGCTTCACTGCATCGCTTGGCAGCTCTGCTAAACGTCAAATCTGACAGCCGAGTACAAGGCTGCCAATCGTGCGATTCGATCCGATTTTAACTGATGTTCAACCTTAATCGAGTGGAAGATAATTTTGAATCGAAAAGAGGCAGAACTTGTATACAGAAAGGTTAGGCTATATGACACGAAATAGAAAGGCGACAGAGAAAGAGCAAGATGGAGCGTTGTTTACCCGAAGAGTCGGGATATTACGATGCCTGTGTTGGGGTGCACTTTTAGGTTAGTGATTTTACAAAGACACTTTGACACGTCTCGAAGTGCACTTGGAAAAAATTGTTCATTGAAACACATCAATTCTACGGTCGATCACGCGTTCCTTTTCTTCTCCGGGTGGGGGAGGATGTGGGAATCTGGATGAACGAATGCTTCTTCTATTGTTGTCCCTTAATCTTACCAAAATAACGATTTCATCAAGCGAATTTTCCAAAGAAAAACAACTAGTAACGGCAATTCACTGGTAAACAACAGCCAATGTGATCGTTTTCCTTCTAAACTGCAAGAATGCATGTTTGCAATACCCGGCTCTGTGTCTGCTTGTGTTTCAATAGAGTAATGTTACCTAACTTTTGTTTCGGGTATACTTTTTGCATATTTTTCAACCAGAGGCGAATACTTTCGTTTAATACAACACCTGCCAAACTGTCAACAAATTTCAAGCTAAATATGTAAGACTCGTACTAACTCTTAGAATTTTGTTCGGATTTTACCTCTAAAATGCTTCTGTTTTTCACTGGCTAATACACGTATGTCAAAACTTGTTTGCAAACCGAAAACTAAAACACCGGGGGAACAAAATTCGTGTTTTCTGCCTTGTTTTCATCCTCATCCTCGTTTCCTATCCTCTTGAACTACAAACAATCATGCGTTATCACAAATGCTTGTCGCTTGCCGATTTTCGATCTTCGTTCCTGGATTTTTGCTGTTTTCTATTCAAAACTGAAGCAAATCTCTATTCTTCTTTTCCTTTTCTTCGTTTTCTGCGTAGTTCCTCTTTAAGTCTAACTGCTTTACATCAACGAAACGGTAAATCGAAAAGGTAAATGCTTCTCCTCTTTGTTTTAACTTTTTTTTTGAATAATCACATTTTTTCACTTTTTTTTTCTTAATCAGTTGATTCACCTGGGTGTCCCTATTTAACAACGTAGTTTTTCATCTGTTCTCTATTATTTATCGCTTGTTTTTGTTTTTTTTTGTATAATGAACTGTCATGAGCTTCTTATTATGTTTTTTTTTGTTGTTGTTGTTTAATGTTGTGACTCAAGGAATGCTGGTGATGTGTTTGCTGTTGTGATGGTGCTGCTTGTGTCGTCGTCGCTATTTTCTGTTGTTGCTGTTGTTCTTGTGTTCGTACTCATATTGCATTTGTATGTTGCGCTTCAAACGGTGCTAGTGGTGGTATGTTTCTCATCTGGATTGCCTGTCGTTTTCGGTTGCGTGTGTCATCGGTTGTTTCAATGTGGTGGTGACGGGTGGTGATTAATGCTGCTTATACGTTATATGGTTTTTCTTTTTTCCTTTGTTCGTTTTTGTTTTTTTTTTCATTTGAATTTTCAATTTAAAACTTTACATTTAAATACTTTTTTTTTCTTTTAATTACTTGTTTTTCATGTGATTTTTTTTTCACTTGTTTTAAATAATTACTATTTTGTTTTTTTTTTCTTCTATAATATTTGCATTCTGCTTATTTCTTGTATTCCTTTTTATTTCATTAAATTAGATTTAATATTATTGAATATACTGCTGAATACGGATGATGGATAATCACTGTAAGGAGCATTTTCCCTCGATTTGCGTTTTGATCTCGTTCACCTGCGTTTCTATGGAGTTTTTCAACTCTGTGTCAGTTGTTCCAGCGATGGAAGATGACGTTGTTGTTGTTGTTGTTGTTAGTAGTTGTTAGTGGATGGTGGGTTTGAAAATAGAATGGAGAAGAAAAACATCAAACGGCAGCTGTTAGTAAATGATTGGATCAATTTGGTAATTAGTTGATCAGAGAATCTATTGGTAACTAGTAAATTCAAAGTTAGTCAGAAGAGGAGAAGAAGTGTATATTTCTTGTCATTTGTATTTGATGGTTGTACGTTCGTCTGTATAAGGTGATATGAGCCACTCTCAATTTTAGGGAACATAAGTTCAGATCGGAAAAGGAGTGTTGACATCATTTTAGAAACCAATTTGCCCGTTCCTTTTTATTTGGTTTCGATTCCACCTGGTTGTATACTCACCATTCAATTTATAATTTTGGCTATTTTAGGTATTATCTATAGTTTGTGCGCTAAGTGTCAGGAGGAAAGTGACTACCAGCAGCGTCGATTCTTTCCGAAGATTTGATCGTCAATCATAACACAAATTTTACTCAAAATGTGTCTACGTAGTTTATGGTGCTTGATGTTGCTGGTCAGCAGCACCACTTTCTAAGTCTGCCTTAACACTGTTTCTGCCTTTATAAAGACTGACTAAAAGTAAATTGGTACGCCCCTCGCTCGCCGCTAGCACGCCTCTAGCGTTACCTCTATGACTCTAGTGTTGGGAATCAAAAATCTTTGACAGTGGTTTGTTTACAGTTCTATAGAGAACAACTGGTGTAAGTTTGATCAAAGTAGTCGATCGTGTTCATAAATAACGTCAAATGGAACTCGAAAATCCGGAAAATCCAGACCCAAGCTAGCAAAAGTGCTGAAGATGCCGAAAACAACAGTTTGTCGAGTGCTCAAAACCTACAAGGAAACCCTGACTGTGGAAAGGAATCAGTGAACCTACGAAAAAACTGGAACCAGGGATCATCAGCTGCGCAGCAAGGTGTTGAGGTGCGTTAAAGTCAACCCCGGTTTTTCGATCCAAGATGTATCCAGAACGTACAACGCCAACTTTCAAACGGTGCGGAGCATCCTTGCCAGGAAAGGATACAAGTCGTGCAAAGCCAGTAAACATCCGAACCGGCTCATGAAGCAGAATTCCGTGGCCAAAAAGCGTGCAAGGCTCTTCTACGACCGTGTTTTGACGAAACACAAGCGCTGCACTTTGATCAATGACGAAACATACGTCAAACTCGATTTTAAGCAGCTTCCCCGTCAAAAGTTGTCCCATAGAGGTAACTCTAAGACTACTGGGTCCCGAAGAAAATCATTATTATTTTTGGCTCACTCAGTACCAGAACAACGGTCCCAAGCAGTCCCAAGCTATTTCACTCACCCCTGCATGTTCTGCATGAATCCACACACCCCTGATGTTATCTGTCAAACTTTCATAGCGAATCAAAACAAACATAGTGTAGTGATAGAATTTCAACTAGAATAGGGTACGTTAATCGTTTGCTTGGGACCAATAGGCTACTAAAGTGGTGAGCCAATTTAAAATCGTTAGTTTCGTATTGATTGTTGGTTGTACATCGCGACTGAACGTGGGGAAGATTCACGTTCGTGTTTGCCGACAAGTTCGCGAAGAAGGCCATGATTTGGCAAGCGATGTGGCCAGAAAACGGAACCATTCGTCACATCCTCTACGAAAAATGCCTGAAAAGCGTGAATTGCCGTTCATCCGGAATCACAGTTGTAAAGTCATCATTTGGCCCGATTTGGCCAGCTGCCACCAATCCAAGGTGGTTCTGGAGTGGTATGCTGCCAAAAATATGGATTTTGTCCCCAAGTTAATCAATCCACTGAATTTCCCGGAATTTCGGTCAATCGAAAAATACTGGGCAATTTCAAAGCAGCGACTTCGACGAAGCAGCGGGACAGTCAAGGACATTCAGCAAATGCGCACAAAATGGAAGAAATGTGCTGATTCCGTGTCCATTTCCATTGTGCGGGCGCTGATGGGCTCTATCAAGGGGAAGGTTCGAAGTTTTGTTCGAACTGGAGAAATGTAACCATCTAAAGCTGTAACTTTGAGGTTTTAATAAAAGTACTGTAAAGCATCCAATGGACTTTTTAAACTTATTGAATCACGAAGTACAGGTCTTTTTATGCGTACCAATTACATTTTAGCGAAGACAACTAATCAAGAAGACTGGCAGCTCTTCCATTTTCTCATACGAACGCTATGAAACAGGTACAATTGCGTCATCTGCCGCTCAAAGGTAAATGCTTCGAACGAATTTGATAGCAAAGATTACATCCTCAGAAGAAGGGTTTGTGTATTTGCTAATTTTTCTATGCGTTGCTTCCACCTTCACTCAAGCGCAGCGCCATTGTATCTGTCGCTTGGATTCTGGCAAAGTTGTCAGTCTTCTTGATTTGTTGTCTTCGATTTTAGTAAGCTTTTATACAAGCACACCGAACTCGGTTTGATTTCAACCGAGTTTTTATCTGCTGAACGTTCGGTAGTCGGTTCGGTTCAAAGAGGAATAACCGAGCTGTCGTTAGTTTTTATTGTTACCCACAATCTGTCAAAGTTACCGAAAATCTCGGTTGACGAAAAATGAATTGAAGCAGAAGTAACCGAAAATCGGTTTACTCAATGACAATGACAATCGCTGTCAAACAAACCGACACACCTGTTGTAATTACGGAATTCGGTTCTCTTGGGCAGCGCTCGGGTTTCACTTCAAATCCCGCTTTAAATTTTGATTAAGGATGCGTTGCTTTGAATTTTCATAAAATAAAACAAGTTTTGTCAAAGAAATGTATGAAATATATTTATTTAATTTGTTTTGGAGAATAAAAACTCAAAACAGTCAAAAAAATATCACCGACTTTGAAATCATTCTTATTCAAATTGTTTTTAAATGCCTTTGCAAGCCAGAGACATAACCTTGTACATTTTCACGGCAGTAGAGACAAAGTATAGCACAAGATGCCTGCAAATAAAATCATACAGTTAGTTTCAAACACTTTAAAAAGATTCCAATCAAACGTGCATCCTCCTGTTACAGCTGCTCCAGAACTTTTTTCCATTATTACTAAAGTTTTACACACGTCCGATGAGCACACGTGAGAAAAAATTGCTGACTAATTTTAGACTCAGCTTAGAGAACCGAGTTTTCGGTTAAAATTTCCGTCGCGTTGAGCGCAAGTGGAACGTTTGACGTTTAAGCGTTTGACGCTTAACACGTTTTAGCGACTATTCGGTTCAGTTTACCGAGTTTCTCGGTTTTCACATAGCGAATTCGTAAATGTCGATACTTTACCTACTTTTCGGTTTAGTCTTCATTTCTATCGGTCAAATTTATACTTTTTTTTACCGAAATTCGGGTCTGCTTCGATAAGCGATGGTTGTTTAACCATTTATTCGGTTTCTCGTTGGTAACCGAGAAGGTTTGGTAGAAAATTAAACCGAGTTCGATATTATTTTCTAAGTGTGAAAACATCCTTCTAAGCTTCTTTAATTTTGAAAAATATATCGTTTTTAATATATCATCTGAAAGAGCTTCGTTTTCTGAGCAGAGCGATATTTTTTTCGAGCAAAATAATAACTTCACTGTTTGACACTAAACTGACACATTGACACCTCGCTTCCATACAAAGTGACACCGAGGGGTGCTGATAAGGTGATTTTTGCAAATGTAATCGTACTTATTTAAAATAGTTCCAGTGTACCAAAATTGATGAAATTTTGGGTTTGGGTTCCATTTTTAATGCAGATTTCGAATATGCATTTACCTCAATACCCTTAAAGAACCCAATTGTCATTTGGGCGGCACTCGAGGTACGATTTCGATGGAAACGCAGAGAAGTACCGTTGTTTGCGGATGAACTTTTAGCCGGTATTCGTTTATTTGGATTCCTCGATACCTGTTTTTCGGTTAGTAACGAGACGGTCTAATTTACGGTAAGTATTCTTGTAACGTTGAATACCACCCTAACAACTGACAGCATTCGAGCAGTGCCATCTCTCCGTCAAAGCGAAAACTACGAGCGTAAGAAACGCAAGATTGGAAGATTGCCATAAAAGTTCAACGCAGATGTCGCCACTGCATGATGATGATAATGTGGACAGACTGCATACAAAATTCGTGAAAGCGTTAAATCATAATTTTCACCAAGCCTGTGTAAAATCCTTCCAATATAATATTCGAATTGAAGAAGAAAACGTTTTTACGATCAGACTTATGTGCATCTCTGACTTTTCCAGGTGATCATAAGATATTTTCATTTCATTTCACGGCTCCATCAATGCTGCATCGTAAATATGATGGTAAACAGAAGTAAATTGTTCAATTACTCAAAATAAAGTTGATTTGTCATCTTGTTATCACTTTGAAGACCATCGAGCACCATTTTATAGTATGGTGCGTGTTGAGTAAATCAAGTTCCGGTGCGTTTTCCGTCGAAAATTGTGAGCATCAATATGTTTGCTTAAAAAAGGCCAAAATGAACATTTATTGAATATTGGCGTCCTATACAACCAATTCTCTATAACCACCTGCATGATACAACCTTTCCTAAGTAAATTCACTTAATTTCCACTTTCATCTTAGGGAAAATCGTACATATTTACCATTTTCTGAAAAATGCAGCTGCGCAGGAGGTAACCTCTCCCTGTGGGTGCAAACTTGTTATGCATAATTTGCCATGAAAACATCTCCGATCCATACCGAAATAATAACAAATAGTTTTCAAACACGTTTTCTTACACGATTCAAGCCAAAGTTTCCACGGGAAATTATTAGTTTTTCTTTATGGACCGATTTGCCCCAAAAAGCGTCTGTTTTACTTGGAAAATTTGGAAACTATCCTCCTTATAGTAGTTCTCACTTCGAAATATAGGTGGCGAAAACTTGGAAAAGTTTCACTGCAAGACGCCAATAAATTTTGGCTCCACGATTGGCGTCTTGCAGTGAAACTTTTCCAAGCTTTCGCCACCTACATTTCGAAGTGAGAACTACTAGAAGGAG